GCTCGTTGCGGCGCCGTCGACTGCGGCCCGTGGTCAGCAGCGGCGCCGTCTCCGCCAGCAGCATCTCCGCGTCCGAGTCCACGCTCTCGCACTCGCTGTCGCTGGCCTCGGCGTCGTCTTCCTCGGCCGGCAGCATCGAGTACGAGTGGCGGGTGGGGCGCCCCACCAGGCCCACGGGCGGGCCCCCGCTCTCCGGCACCGTGCTGGCGTTGTAGCCCACGCGGAACTCCAGCACGCTCACGGTGCCCCAGCGCACGCACTTCTTCTCCCTGAGCGCCGCCTGCTCCATGCTCTGCTCGACGGTCTCCATTCTGTTGTCGCTTTGTCTCCAGTCCCTGTCTCGCCTGTGGATCTCCGGGGCTTCTTTCTCTGGCGCTTCCGCGCTCCGAGGCGCTCGCTCGCTGTTGTTTATCTACGCGGCGGCGGGGCCCAGGCGCTGCTCTGCTCTGCTGTGCGTGAGAGGTGAATACGGGAGTGGTGCCTTCCTTCCTCCCTGCCCGCCTGCTGCAGCGATTGCGCCCGGCCTGCGTTGCCGAGCGTAGAGCGTCGAGTCAGTACAGGCGGTGCAGAGCCGCGGCGCCCACAGTTGCGGCATCTACCGCCAGCTGGTTGCAGAGGCCACGCGCCGCCGTTCGGTGGTGCCTCCGTCCAGTCGGTGGCGCCACCGCCGCAGCGCATGTGCAGGTTTCCAGCAGGTGCTCGGAGCCTCCGACACTGCTCCTGCTCCGGCAGTCCGTACCTGCCTTTCCTCGCACGAGTGAGCGCGTTTATTGCTAGTCTTGTAGGCGACGCCCATGTGTGTGCGGCATGCGGTAGTACTCAGTCGATTGCAAGTCGATATCCCCACACCACCGTATTTGACTGCAGCCATCTACGCGACGAACTATCCTTCTGCGCGCGCACGCTGATTTCTCCGCCCAGTTACAGGCAACAAGCAACAGCATGTAAACTATCCCCGCCAGGAATCCCCCCAGCAAATGACGTTGCTCGCGCCCAACGGTGCTGAAAGCTCATCCTCGCGCCATTTGCGTTATGTGGCAGCAGATCAAGCAGAGTGTGGACCACACACAGTGGGAGACCGACGCGGCGCGTGTCGATGCCGACGCATGTGGCAGCAGCCATCGCCAGGATGTCGACCAGCTGAGTGCGGCTGACTCGAGGGTCAGGCATAGGGGCCCTAGTCGAGGGCTGGACTCCAACCTGGAGCCGCCGTACATGTACAGTATTGAGCTCGTCGCCGGCGATAATCGGACGAGCAGGAGACTCGCCGCCGGTCTTGCACGCGCTGTGGCGAAGAATCCAGGCCGGTCGGCTCTCCATGTGTGCACAGTACGACAATTCAAGTGCACCTAGCCAGTCGAAAACGAGCGAGCAAGCCCCAGACCGGGCCAGACTCTGGCAGACCCACGGCAGATCTGCGAAAGCTCGCCTCGAGGACGCCAGGAGCGTAAACGGCGGCCTGTGGCTTATGATGCCAAGCAATAAAGAAAGCTGCAGCTTCAAGGACCGCCAATTGCGGTCCTCGAGCTCGGGACCCTCGACTTTGGGGATCGAGCTGCCGATCTCGCGGCGAGCTGCCGTCGATCTGAGAATACTACGGACGTTACCCGTGGCCGGGAAGCACGTGCTGTCAGACGGATCCAGCGAGACCGTCTTGCCTAGAGTGCTGAGGGCAAAGGCAAATGGGGTGCGTTTTTGATTAAAAAAAACTTTTAGATAGCAATTTACTGTAGCATTGCTAAGTTTGCAGCAGCAATAAAGCAGTGCACATTGCCAGCAACCTTATAACGCACCCACGCCAGCCACTGCGCGCCAAGCAGCGCTGCTACATGATCGCGCGACGACGTGAGCGCCGCCGCATCTGCCGGGTTAACGAGCGCCACACCGCGTGTTTATTCGCGCCCGTTTGACAGGCGCGGGCCGTGGCGACGTTGGTCTTAGTGTGCATGCTCGCTATTGCCTCGCTGCTGCCTTTGCCTCAGCACAGCCTTGGCACAGCGCAGCGACTCGCTCAACTTGCAGTGCTGCACGCACCGACTGGTTAAGATTTTCGGTTGAAGGTGGGCGTATCTTTGGCGGTACTCGCCACCGACTGCACACTCTTCGGTCCCAGCAGGTCCACTGCTGTCAACCAGCTGACTCGGGCGAAGATCGGCGCGTCTGCAGACTCTGCATGACGTGCGCGCGAGTGGACATCGGCAGGCCATCGCTGGTCCCACCTACTGCTGCCACAGGCCAACGGTGTGGTTTCTTCTGGTCAACGCAACCAAGTGCAAGTTGCAGTGCCGCCGTGGCGCTGCCAGTGGCAGTCCTCGTGCATTCGATTTGAGCCGCTTGGTGCCGACTCGCCTCCCAGAGCAAAGTAAACCAGCCAGAGAAGGCTCACCAGTTCTCAAAAGTAAGCAAAGTACGTGGCACTGCCCACCACAAAGCGCTTACCGTCGCCAGCGATACTGTAGAAGGCTTCCAACAGCAGCAGCAGAGCCAGCGAGAGGCTGGAGTGTTTCTTTTGTGATGACCAGCTTCTCGCAACGTGCTTCGCGCAGATACAGAACTAGCGGCTGGCCTCGCGTCAATCTCTCTAGGTGAAGCTGGGTTTCGGTGCGTAACGTCGTTGAACTGTACAGTGTACCGTATAAGGGTTAATACATTTTACCTGTAAAACGTGGGTGTCCACATGCGATGACCGTTTCCGTTAACACGAACGATCTTGCCACACTTCGAGTGAATATGAATAAGTTACTGTACATGTACGTACACGCAGTTGACGGCGCAAGATCGGCTGCGTCGCACGGAACGGCACGTTCGGCTCGACGCTAAGTATCGTGGTGGTGGATACATCGGCAAGGCCCAAAACAATATTTGTGCTGTCTTCTCTTACTACTACTACTAGTAGTAGTAGTAGTAGGAAACAGTTTAGTACATTATGCAGCAGATACCACCGCCGCTCTCCGACAATGCACTCATTTTAACTTTTGAAGTTGCCCAACTTCGTACTGCAAGTAGAAGGAATGGTAACGCTGGCATTCTAGCAGTATCAAGTGAGTCGCTTGGACTCGAAATCTCTCAGTTTGACGTGCATCAGCACATGCCAGAAAAACGGAATAAATATGAACTATTTCGCAAAATCTCCGGCTGAACTTAGTGATACGCATATATAATACAATAGTTCGCTAAATGTTAGTGCGGTCACTCGAAATTATTCAAGCCTGGAGCCCAGTCGGCATATTCTAGTCGTTTGTGTTGAATTCGTTATCATGATAAACCTGGGGTTTGATAGCGTCGCGCATGCTGTCGACCTCCAGAAGAAGTAAATGGTCACACAACTGATGGACAAATTCTTTCAAATTATATATGTTTAGGAGGCTGGATGTGTTTTCACAATCCTTACTAGCCTACGGCATGAGGCGGAGCTGTGATTTGTTCCGAGACAGATATTTATTCGTATAGACTCTTGTAGTGTGCCCTACATCCACTATTTCAGATAATACACAAATCTATAGAAAATATACCTGGACTTGGTTTAAAGTAGAACTTTTGCAAAACTGAGCATCATCCGCTAAGACAGACTTTTTGCGACTGTTAACTAAAGAGAACAAAAGAACCTCGAATTGGGCATTAGCTGTCTTCACAATCGACGGAAGAGTTGAATTAAGACACTGAGTTCCTTTCTCTGACCGTAATGAATAACTTATTGGCATGAAACTCTAGCTGAAAAGTAAAGGCTATGTACGATGAGAGTTATACTTGCATGACCTCAGTTATACTTGCATGAGTGTTTGCCACAACTCCGGTACGTGATCGAACCGGGGAAGCGCTTTTAAACAGAAGAATACTGCTTTATAGAATTGTCAAAGCCTGCCATGCTTTGATCAAACTTAGTTTGCGGGTGACTATATGTAAGTGCTGGACTCTCAATTTTGTATGGCTCAGGGACAAACCGCAGTAGCTTTCGAGTCCGCCGCAACACTATATGTGAGTTTACTACGTAAATATACACATTTGCTGTCGTGTTCTACCGTACCAAGCCTAAAACCCTGGTCGCCTTCTTAGAAGATTTTTTGGTAACGCATCTTTTGGTTATGTGGCTTTTGCCTGTGTGAGCACTTACGGTGCACAGGCATTGAGCGGAGCCTGACCTGCGCGCAGGTCCGTGATAATTCGGATTGCTGTATGCTATCACAAACTGCTCGTACGAACTCAGTTCTGTGCTTTGCAACGTTTACTGCATGAATTGGTCGATTAAACTCACTCCGCAAGCTGCCTTACTGTTCGCGGCAGCTCAATATTGCTTACCGATATTGCCTTCCAATACGTCAAGCCGCGCTTCGACGTGAGAGGGCGACGTGTACATGAACTCGTCGTCGTAGATATCATAGTTTAAACAGCTCAGGATAACGTCTTCAGTAAACCTGTTGAGACACTGGGCAAACAGAAAGATAAGCTCCCTAAAATCCCGGTATCCATACCGAAAGTCTTCTTTACTCGGCGTGTGCTGGGGAATAAGCTCATGTAACCAGTCAGTGGCGTACAGACGAATCTATTAAGGCAAGTTGCCACTTTAGTAGAATTTTCGATGGCAACTTTTAGCCAACCGCCCCTGCTTGTAATATTGACCGCAAGGTACTGAGTGAGGTATGAAATTGTAGCTCAAGATTTCAGCAATCAGAGACGATACCAGATAACTAAATCCATGCAATATTCAGCACATTTAACGCAAGCTACAAAGCCATCTCGAATTCGAGGTTGTGCCAGTTTAGTAGAGATTTTATCAGGGAGTTTGTATTGAAATACCAGCTGTTTGCTCACTTGCACCTTGAATAATTATATTATCAACCAATCATGGAAGCTATACGCGAAGTACTGTCTGTTCATAGGTCGACGTGACACTCTACTAAACTGCTCACTCTCTACTAAAGTGGCAACTTGCCTTAGCAGCAATTCACGAAGCATTCGTGGACAGCATTATCGATGGCCTTGGATGTCCCCGGAGCGGTGTACGTGTAGCCACTTGATCGCCTTCATGTGACCGTGCTTTCCGGCGGAATCCATGGCTTCCGTTGTACATGTACAGACTTCACTTCTGTTGGCTTGAGCCATTGAATCACTTCAAGATGTCCATTACCAGCACTCCCGTCCATTATGCTTTGACAGTGCACCCCTCTCTGCGATTGGTGTGAAGCCATGAAACCACCTCTAAACGACCATTTGAAACCCCACCCATCGCTTCTTTAGTGCACTTCTGGTCAAAACAGCGTCCAGCTATATCAACACCTCTAAATGACCACTAACCGCTGAACGAGAGCTTTGGGCAGGCTGGGATAGCTAAGAATCATTGGATGAGGCAAACTCTGGACTGCGGTATAGTGCATTTGTGTCTTATTCGACGAGGCGGTGCATTTAAAAAAATAAGAAGTTAAGTAGTTGGCGTGTCCTCGAAACCGTTTGAATTAGTACGTCCGTAGGACAAGCTAAACAATCAAACGTTTTGTCGCATTGCAGTGGAAAGAACGACGCGTCGATTACGGAGTTTTGTTTGATGGACAATCCCTCGTACTAGTTGTCTGGCTGCACCAGCTCCATATCATCGATCATCACTATAGACACGACAAAGAGGTTGTACATGCAAGTACGTTTTTTAATTCATAAAAACTTGGGCACAACGACCCGTATTCGGGTCTCCTTGTTATATATTGTCACTATCAGTTGATTTTACGCTCGATCCATGATAGCAGTCTTACAGCACAAATTTTGATCTAGCACAGAATTCGAGTCAAGAAACACGATTAGTTAATTCTAACTACGGGCATCTACTGCGCCTGCTTCGCAGCCGCAGCATCTGCCCGGTAACGCGTCTATATGATAACTACCGGGGCAGCCTAAACAGCAGCACTAAAACTATCAGTCACGTACGGGGCCGAAGTACCATGACGCAGGGCGCCTCCGCAGCGGGGGTACCCTCACTGCCATGCGCGCTACACACACCAACTCACACTACACATTTAAATAGATACATGTACGACAATTATAGTTGTTCCGGTTGCAAGATTCGAGATGGATGGAGAACGGGTCATCCCATAGCATCAACGCAGATATTCAGTTTATTTCAGTTGGCAGGCTTCGGCTACCGGCTTCAGTTTACCGGAGCCAGCTACCGCGGACGCCGAATTAACCTGGGTTGCTGCTATCCCAGAATAATACTTCGTATAGAAGTACATTGCATCAGTATGGAGAGCTTGAATTTGGCCATTGTAGAAATGTTCTCCTGGTATGTTTTTTTATATTGGAAAAGGTTATTGAGTTACTTGCACGAGCAAACTTCTTCTGGTATGTTAAACTGGTTCGTTTTTTTTGTTTCTTTTTGGCGCAACCATGAGGTCAATAGGAATCTTCCATCTATTATACATACGTGGGAAATGAATAGGCAGCCAGTCCACAGAGTTTTGCGGGCTGCGCCGAGCAGAGCAGAGCAGCTCCATAATTGCTGTCTCTCCCATGGCTATGGAGATACTGCATCGCCACAATGTTCAATTCCTCCGCTGCAATCAGTAAGAAATCAGTCATTATTAGCCCTCTCCTCCGTCGACCATATCGTCATTAATGGGATGGATTTCTGTTCGAGCCAGTATACCACCGTCCATCATTCTCTATCCAACTCCCGACGCTGATATGGAGGGGGACACGAGATTCAAGCACCACCAAGTGTCACGAACCCGAGGTCGCTGGTTCGCTGGATGCCTTCTCTCATAAGAAATCCTTGGCAAAGTTTGTACGGGTTGGCCAAGCTGAACGTGCCGACACGAAAGGGCCCTTTAGTTCGATCGTGCTGTCTACTGCAACCACATCGCAACGCCGGAATGCCCATTCTCAACAGCCAACTTTACACTCGTATCCCCTCCCCCAGCGAATCACGTTGTCAGCTCCATGCGAAATATAATACTTCGTGCCCGAATTCTTTTCGTTTGCGAGCCAAGTCATCATTGCGCCGTGACATGGACAAACGAGCTCGCAGAGCTTGCGGTGACCAGATTGGGGGTTGGTCGAGCGAACGAGGAGATGGTACTGCCAGTATCAGTACTTTACAAGCGAAATGTCCTCTTAAGGTTGATGGCACTTACAAGATGGCAGCACACGCTCCAGGTGCTTAACCACAGAGACTTAGTAGTGAAAAAAATCAAACGAAAGGTAGCGTAATAGATAACTGTGCTTGATAATGAAGACTTTACTTGCATTGCATGTTGGAGTCACAAGGCGCATTCTCTGCTGTTATTCCTCTCGACAACCCAGTGTAGCCTCTGTTCGATTCCTTCGTTTCGGTTTTGCTTGATGCTGCATTAACAACATTGCTATGATGCACCCAGATTTAGGGAATATACACATGCATAAGAGAGTACGCACCGAAGGCCCTCATAGCGTTGACTGCGCTGACTAGCTTACCGGACGCGCTGCGCTTAGCTGCTGCTTTGCCTGCAGTTCGAGCTGCTATGGCGTCTGAAAGGGCTTGCTGACCATCGTCGTTAATTACGCCAGCACGAAGCTTGTATCGGTGGTCGGGAAGCAGCTTTTCCAAGGTCGTTGTGCTATCATACCACAATTTTGCAGGTTAGGGATGAATCACCCAAGCTGGAAATCAAGAGTCCCAAGCTACGCACTGGATCGTGTAGTCATCAGTCTTGAACACTGTCTCCCACCTGCACGTTCCGTCGGGTTCGGGAGAGGACAGATAAATCACACAGGTTACGCCAGGTTGGCGATCATTGTCTGCTAAGGCCCACATCAAGGTTAGCTCTGATGGTCCAGCATCAGTGACGCATAGCGCTGGTGCGGAGGGTTTAACTGTGTTTGGAATGGACAGCAAAAACAGTCAGATAGCGGCGCGATATGAAATCCGATGTACCCAGTGTATAACTTGCCTTTTCTGGTCCTGACGGGGTCGGAGTCGGCACTGAATTCGCTCATGCCATGCAAATTTATGGCACAAATAGCGGCCACATACTCGGTATCCGCACTAAGACCACCGATGGACGTCTCCGTCGGGAAGGCAACTGCTAGTATGACTTTTAAGGGGCTGGAGGATGAGGAAATCTTAATCTTGTAACCCGATACTGGAACGACCTCATCCAGATTGGGTCGTGGTGGAGACCTACAGATACAGACGTCTGTTGGCACTGTAACGAGAAGGGCGGGGGGATACCTACCACTGGATCTTCAGCTCGGTGTCTGATATGGCCTCTAGAACTGGCGCAGAAGGTATCGACGGCGCTGCACACAAAGGGGATTATTCCGAGCTCGATCAATGACTACCAAGAACAAAATAACGCGTACGTTTCCCTGACAAGTTCCTAAACAGCTCAGTTATAGCTGGCGTCGTGCATACGTCCACTGGTGTCAGTCCATGCTGCGCAAAAACGAAACTAAAATGAGTAGTTTGACATTTACTACGGTCACAGCGCACGTTTTGTACCTTGCTCTCTGCAACGCGAAGCTCTGCAGCATTCTGTGCACCACGGTATCAGCGTCACAACCAAAAATAAGCGGGGGGATATATGAGCGACGTAGTACGCCTAATACCTGCAGTAGTAGCTTGACAACATCGACGTGCCCTTGTTGAGCTGCGAAAAATATCGGTGTACACCCAGACCCATTTACACTATTAATGCTGGCACCATGCTTTATCTACGTGTACATGGGTGACACAGTCAATTTTTTTGGCTACCACGATTCTTGAGGGCAGCTCAAAACGTACGAGGATTTCACAAACTCGTACGTGTCCTTGGTAAGCAGCGTAGTGTAGCGGGGAATTCGAATTCTACGTGTTGATTAAACCATGATCCAAACCAAAACATGGCATCATTAGCAGGTCAATCAATGGGCTGGACTCTAGATTCCGACCAAGCTGTGAGCTTACCCCGTATTCGGACGAATCTTTTTGATTTAGAAGCTCGGAGCCACCCTCCACCACCACGTCTTCAAAGCCATTCCAGCACGCGGTGTGGATATCGACCTTAAACCGTTGCCGGCCGAGCTCTTTTATCCGCGCCAACGCCTTCTCGACTTCCCCTGAGGCTTCGTTGCCTCCAGACTGCCCCACCCACCACTCAGTGAACTCCTCCTGGTCTATCACGCCGTTGTCGTCACGGTCCAGAATGCGCAGCGCCTTCCGGAAGTCTCGCTCCGTGAGAACGCCGCCTAGATCCGCGACGAGATATCGAAGCTCGGCTGTGTCAATCCAGCCGCTGCTGTCCTCGTCATAGCAGGCGAAAGCGGCCCGAACGGTCTCCCGCAGCTCCTTGTCATCGGCCATCGCTGCAATTGATTCCTGCAGTGCCACAAGCCGCACGAGGTCGTTTCATGAATATTTATGGCCAACTTCATGTTGCCGCTAAAAAGGTTTTAGACGTTGTGTGAAACTGAAAGCGACAAGCTCAGCCTTCGTGCTCTGTCGATAGCATAGGATCCGACCGCCACCATTGTACGCGTCGTGCTTACCCTTAGTTTGCCACAGCGGAGGCCGTGCCACTATCTCTGACTCTTCTTGCTTGGCGTTATGGCGTCGTCGAAGGCGTCCGTCGGCATGAAAGCCACCGAGCAGTTCAACTCCGTGCTCATAGGTTGCGGCGGTGAACCAAACTTGACAAGTGCCGTACTTTGTCATGCTTACGGAGCCACACAGTAATACAGTCAGCAGCTGTATGGATTGGCGCCCCGCTTAGCCGCCCCGCGGGACGTGACCAGAAAGAAATAACGCAGGTTGGCCTACAGTCGAGGAAGTCGACGGCGCAGCTCCCAACTCGCCTAGCGCTTTAGACTCGACCCGAGTTAGCGGCTGGGCCGCTGCCATCACGCAGATTTGGTCGGAGGAGGTGCAGAACGAATGGAAGCGCGAACAGCGACGCCAGACCTCGCTGCGGTATCGAGTTAGCAAGCGGCAGCAGCTGACCCAGTTGCATCAAGAGCAAGACCGTCTACACTTCCGACTCCAGCAACATCTTGCAGCCTGAAGACGCACACAACCCGGCGCGAGTTGCCCCAAGGACCACCTCCAAGCGGCCATCTCCGCATGCCGACTAGCGATCGAAGCAAGGGTTCTGAGAAGGAATTGTGTCGGGTACTCAACACAAGCTCTTGACGACATTACATAGTAAAGGGCCGCGCGCACCCCCAGTTTCTTTTTTACGTGGCGAGAAGAAACCTCGAGATATTTACGAAGCGAGCAAAACCTCTCGCAACCAGGAAGGCTGGCAAGTGTTCTTCCCGAATGACGAGCCGTCCTTCTACTTCCTCCCCTTCACACGAGCGGAATTTGACGACGTCATCAAGAAGTGTGTCTCTCAAACGGCCTCGGGGTCCTCGGACGTGGGGACGGTGGGGTCGCTGTTTGGTTGGGGCGTACACCACGCACCTTTGACTCGAAGTTCGGCTGACGGCTCGTTGATTGCCCACGCAAGATTTACATCTCGCATCGGTTTTTGATCTTGATTCGTGGTCGTTGCTGTTTACACCTCTAAATTGGACGAACTCGCAGCACCACGCGACATCGACACAAGTCTTACAGCAGTTCGACTTGAATTCCCATATCTTAGTGACATACGTATCGGACCAAGTTCATTCCCGATACTTCCATTTCGATCTACGATGGCCTAAAGCTGCGTCTAATGGGAAACGAGCTGTGTGGATCGTTGCTGCTGTTGCCGATCCAGAGTCGACGTTGCGCCACAGCGTCGATGAGGCCTCTCGCGATGACGTTCGCTGGATCAGTGATGGTGGCTACTGTATCAAGCTTTCGGAGGTGAACGACTCCACAATTGATGTCGAGTACAGTCGGTGGGCTCGAACGATGGGGGAATACTCCGAAGAAGCTCACAATTTCCTCCAAGAGCCACATGGTTGCAGCACAGTTTCTTTGCAGTTCATACTTTCATTTTTGCGACCGGTGGCTGCAACTGCCACACCTTGGTGTAGACAGAAAAAAATATCTCGAACCCGCATGCTCGCTCTCGTGTCAGTTGTGTCGATACCCTTACAACAGATAACCTAGAGACGTATCCAGCTTTCGCTGGCGTGACGCAGGTCCTATAATACAGTCTGCTTTGGCCGTTTGCAGCGAAATCATGACGACCACTCACACGGCTCTAATACGAATCCTACCTTCATACCTGATCACTACGTATCCCTCAAAACCGAACTCAGTCCGTCCGCTGCACGTCCTGACTCCACAGATATCTAATGATCTCCCTCTGCTGCCCTCCATCCGACTGCAAGTAGTCGCTCTGCGCTGTCCTGTCCTTCATCAGGTACGTCAACGCGCTACCAAATCTCACCAGGTACGGCTCGATCTGCTGCTGCCACATCCCCTCATCCCACGGCACCTTGGTCATCTTGGTCTGCGCTGTGTCCCCCCTCAAATGCTCCACCAGCTCCCCCTCCTGCACCCCCAAAATGTACAGATACGTCTGCAGTTGAGCGATGTCATACTTGGGCAGTGGCGTGATGAACCTCTTGAGCCTGTTCTTGACCTCGATGACCTTCCCGTCCGCCCGTCCGTCAATCTTGCCGCCCACCAGCACCTGATACCCGCCCACAGAGGCAACTTTCTTCTTGGAGAAGACGAGATTCCGCTCCGTGACCTCCACCTTCGACTTCTCCTGGTACTGCTCGATGCCTGCGCTCTCCTGCTTCACCCCGAAGCCCTTGTGCATGCTGGAGGTGACGAACTGCACCACTTCGGCCTTCACCTCGGCCGGCGTGGCGACTGGCAATGACTGCACCACTTTGGCCTGAGCCTGGGCCACCTGCTGGATGGTCTCGGCCTTTGCGGCCTCTTGCAGCAGCTCGTCGATGGCTGGAGCCGCCCCCAGGTCCTGCACCACGGCCTGCATCTTCTCCTCGGGGCTGGGCAGCGGCAACGACAGTTTCTTCTGCAGCTGCGAGACCTGCTGCGGGTTGGTGCGGCGCCACACGTCCAGGAAGACGTCCTCGATCTTGCGGTACGGGTTCAGCGCGCTGATCACGGGCACCTCGCTCGCGAAGAGCATGATGTTGCGCCCCAGCGCCGCCTTGCGCCGAGCCGCCATGATTCACGACTGAAATGGAGATGGTGTGGACCACGTGATGATGGCGTGGTGAACACATATATTGTGTGCGATTGGTGTGCCATTTGCGACTCGGTACCTAACGATGGAGATTAACCAATGAGATCGTCGCCTTTACCGATCACTCATGTCTGAACTCTTGCGGCTCACGTCATGTGTTGGCTCAGACCAGCTAAGTCATCGAAGGAGGACCTCACCTCACTCACTCACCCTCTTACCCGCCTTCTACCGTCCACTCGCCCATGACGGACAGCGCCGCGTTGTCCACGATCGACTTGCTGGACCTGCTGGGGGGCGATGACTCGCCCACGGAGGCGAGCGACGTGGCGCTCAAGCGCGCGCTCGAAGACCCCAAGGCGCGCAAGCGCGCCAAGCACCGCGCGGTCATGGTCGAGTTCCGGCAGAACAAGAAGGATAAGCAGAAGAGGCTGGAGGCCGAGCACCACCGCCTCGAGCGGCAGATGAGGACGCTGGTGGACAGTGTGCGGGCCGCCGCGGCATGCAGCAGCGCTGGAGACGGAGGGGTGTCCGCAGCACTGCGGGAGCTGATTGTTGAGAGAGAGTTACTGCGGAAGCATAATGTTGCACTTCTAGACGAGATCAAGCGCCGCGAAAAGTTCCAGAATACGGTGCGTGAGGCGAGTGAAGACCCCATGGAGAAGGAAGAGTCGACGCTGCCGTCTTCATCTGAAGGAGCTGGATGGAGAGTGGACTTTGAGGGCGGGGGGCCGTCATTCTTCTTCCATCCGTTGACTCGCGGCGAGTTTGATGCGACTATGGAGCACTTTGACGCAGAGATGAAGACTGGGAAGGCGCTTCTCTCGATGGTTGGCACGCTCTTCGGCGGGGAAGTGCGTAAGGCGCCGCTGGTCACCGCTTCGGATGGAAAGTCGTTGGTGGTACGAACTCGAGTCTCCAAGCGGCTGCGCTGCTCACCAGAAAATGTCGTACACCAAGCAGAAAGACCTAAGCCCGATGATCGTTACGCCCGTAGGCTGGGGCCTTCACAAGAGAACGAACGCGATCGTGTTCGTTCACAATATTCCGGGGCCAGAGAAGGACCTTCGCTACTTGTTTCAAGTACGGCGGGCTCAGTGGAAACTGCAAGACGGGCGACGCAAGTTGACAGCCAGTCTGGCCATAACGGACTCTGACGCTAACAGGCGTAGTCGGGACGCTGAAGATATCAGGACAGGGTCGAGTGGGCTACCGAGGGCGGTATCCACGTGGCTATCACAGAGGTGGATGGAAACTCGATAGACATCGTGTGTGACCACTGGGCGGCGTGTCAGTCCGAGCTGCATGCCGAGTACTTGATGATCCAGTGGACGCAATTCTCGGTGTGGTGGGAGCAGCTGACGGTGCCCTCCAACTTACTGCTCAGTTCGACGTAGCATGTCAAGGTCAAGATTCCACGAGCAGTTAATTGTGTATCGTCCTAGTTGGATATGAATATATGTAAAATACCAACTTCGGCAAAGTGCTCGATAGCGATAGCATCCCGTGGACGTTGCAACGCGTTGCTAAAGACCGTAAACTCTAAGATTTTGCAGGTTCAAGCAGTTCAAGTGTTTTTAAAATGTGAAGTCCGCATATTGCCACTTTGAAAGTGCTGACAACAGCAACGACAGCTTCCTTTGGACTGCTGATCGCCATAAAGCGGTCGTCATATCTTGGTTGACTGGTTGACCGCTTCCGGGATGTATATACGCACCGTGTGATTCTATGCTCGGTGGTGTGATTAAGTGCAAAGTCTAGTTTCTCTGCGTCTGATTAAAGTGAGTAGAATTGTCACTTTGCCCATTTTGGTGGCAATGCCAATGCCTGACCTGGCGCCCGAGAGAGATCGTCTCATTGCTGGGAATACAGCTGCCGCCTGATGTACACACAGCATGATGTACGTGTGCTGTCTTCACCTGAAGTACTGACGATGTGATGTACTGTTGCATCCTGGCTCGTTCGCCGCAGCAAAGCAGCCGCGTAAGATCTGGAGTTGGCTCTGTACCTAATGCAGCACGAGTGTCTTGTCGGGATCAGCAGCTTCGTCGAAGAACTGTAAACTTGAACAGATGCAGACTATTGTGAAGCTTGCGAAGAAGCAGATCATGCTCATTTGCTCCTTCTGCGAGTGTATTATGCTGCGGAGATTTAATAATTCCCTTCCTGTTATAGATAGCCTAAGGACGCATCGAATCTCCTGTTAGTATTATACTGGCTGCTCTATGGGCATGTATTGATGGCTATAAAGGTTGGCAAGCACTACAGGATTCGAATCCGTCCGATAAATTATCGGCGATAATGTAATGTCTTTATCATCACCCGCTTTGCTTTCGTTTGAAATCGAACCGGCGCAATCGCCATGTGTCACGTGATGGACTATGGCAAGTTGAGCTCGTAAGGTAAGTTGCGAAGTGAGATTAAGAGTTAGAGTTCATCCTGACAGACATCGTTCCTACCAGCGGCCTCCATGGGGCAGCAACTCCTGCGCCACCGCTCCTCCAATGGCTGCCGCTGTTGCTTGCCGGCAGCCACTCATCGTCGTTGCTGCGTGCCGCTTGCCCAGTTCTCGCTGCTGTCGCGTGCCGCTTGTCCACTGCCGTCGTTGAGTGCTGCTCTGCTGCCTCCAATGCACGCGCCGCTCTCGGTCATTCGCTGGGCTTCTGCTCCAGGAGCTCAGCGTCGAGATTGGCATCGGCACCGGTGCCTGGATTGGCACCGGGCTCGGATCCTGCCAGCGCGCAGTGTCGTCTGGTGATGGCGCTCTGACCGCGCCCAACATGGGCAAGGGAGCTGAAGAACTGTACGTACTGTACTCGCCATCAAAGGAATGGCTCACGTCACGGCTTGTTATTGCTCCCGTCATTCTGGCAAAGACGGCCAATTACACAAGTCTCGACGCTTCAGCGCTTCACGATGGCAACTTCATGGTGCGTTTCGCAATGGCGCCACACGAACGAGTTCCCTTTGGGCCACTGCAGCGAGATAGTGAGCGGGGCCATGAAGACGTTCGAAGACCTGGACAAGCAGAGGAAGGAGCAGCACCGCATCGCAATGATCGAGTTCCGCCTCAACAAGAAGCACAAGCGCAAGGAGATGCAGAGTGAGCACCGCCGTCTAGAGCGCACGATGAAATGGCTAGTTCGCGGGCTGCGGCTGCTCGGACCAGCTCTGGCGACGTCGCTCACAGCACTATGAAGACTACTCTGCGGGACTTGGTCGTGGAAAAGGAGGCACTTTAGAAGCAGAACGCAGCGCTGCAGGAGCAGATCAAGCGCCACGAGAAGTTCCGAGGAATTGTACGTGATGCATCCATAGAATTGGAAGAGTCGGCGCTACCAAGCTACGGCAGGTCCGGGTGGAGGGTGAACTTTGATGGAGGAGAGACTTCGTTCCACTTCCACCCGCTGACACGCGATGACTTTGACGCTACAATGACGCGCTTTGACGCAGAGCTGGCGAACGGCATGTCGTCTCTGACAAAGGCCGACTCAGTCTTTGGGTGGGAGATTCTCAAAGCTCCGCTGACGGCCTCGTCGCTGGATAGCAAAAGGTTGCTCGTGCGCGCTCGAGTTACCAAGCGTCTACGGTGCTCGTTGGACCTTTTCCAACAAGCGCTAGGTATGCAGCACAAATATCTCACTCCGACCATCGCCTCACCGCTTGGTTGCGGTCTTCACCAGCGGCCCAAAGTGCGAACCGAAGTGCTCCAGGAGTTGGACGAGGAGTCGACTGTGTTCGCGCACAGCATCACCGGGGCCCATAAGGACCTTTATTATCTGTTTCAAGTCCGGAGAGCTCAGTGGGAAACGCAAGACGGACGACGCAAGCTGACGCTCAGTTTGGCCGTCACTGACTCGGATGCCAACAGACGTAGCCGTTATGCTGAAGCCTTGGAGTTGAGCGTCGAATGGGCGACAGAAGGCGGCGTTCACGTGCCAGTCACTGAGATTGAAGAGAATTTGATCGAGGTGAGTTGCGACCATTGGGCCAGTAGTGAGAGCAAGCAACACGTGGAGCATTTGATGATCCAGTGGGCACAGCTCGCAATTTGGTGGGAGCAACTAGCTGTGCTATCGAACCTGCTCCTGAGTAAGGTCTAAACGTGCAGAGTAGTGGGTGCTGGATAGATAACTAAAGACGAATGTATTTGTATGCGTGAAGTGATCAATAGCTACAGTGCAGTGTAATACCATGAACTCCTGAGCACCGGGCTGGAAACAGAGATACATGTACCGGTACACCGCGCTTCGGTTTATTGTTTAGTCACGCTTTGTCAGAACTACATGTACAGATGTCCGTGCTGCGTCACGATCGCGAGTTCTTATTAAGCGGCTGCAGCTGTTGAGTCGGACTCAGGACTCCTGATCGCCTGAGAGGAATTTCCATAAATCAATGATTTTCACTGAGATTTGACAAAATGATTGTGATAGTTTGCCTGAATTCACTGATGCAGCATCAGTAGTATCGTCCTAGCGCGTCCATACAATTTGCAAGTCAAATGGAGACCTATAGTAATACTAGAAATAGTACATTTAGACAGCCTTGCGGAATGTCAACCTCCGCTACAGGTCAGCCGTCCACGGGTCCACGGATCCTGCAATCTCAGGAATGAACCGCGTTCGAGTTGAGCGAGATTGTGCTGTGCGAGTTAAGTTTGCGTCCGCACAAGATGATAATGGTCGACGGGCGAAAGGCTCATACACATCCTGGTAGGCTCTTAGTCAATGTAGCAGGAGATGCGTTGTAATGGAAACGCACATTTACATACCACAGATACTGTAGGTAACAGGTAAGTCGTAGATTTCAGAGCTTCTTCGTGCAACGCGCGCGACTTTGTATCTCGTTGAATTGCGATAGTGATAGTGACTGCGCCGCCGCGGTGAAGATGCTCACACTAAGTTCTATAGCTATCCCAGCCTATCCATAGCTCTCGTCTTCATTTGATCGGCTTCAAATAATCGGATGTAGTCTGCACTAGCAGCTTTACTCCTACCCCAGAATAAATGTAGCTGTAAATAGAGACATCTTGCCAAAAAAAATTAACGCAGTTCGTGTAAAAGTCTCGTTGAGGATGATATTATATTGTGTTGCGATATAGTAACTACTACTAGTGTATTGGCAGCTTATAAAGTGGTGGATTTCCACAACGTAGAAAAACAAAGTACTTCCGCAAACCACCTGCAAACATTGTGTGCGTCACAAGGTTTTCGCTTCATGTTCTTAGTTTAATGTGTCGGATCCCATCGGTACTCTGTTCTTTCAAGTCTCTTACCGCGGCAACGCTGCTCGGTTGTGAAGGGGGGAAACATGTCGACGCATAGTTAAGTAGGCTACGGCCTTCGTCGTGGTGTCTGCTTCCTTCACATCGACTGGGGCCTTACCCAACGAGTACACTGCGGAATAATATAGTAGTCGAAAGAAGCGAATAAATACTACTGTAGTATTACTATTTACCAAATCACTGAGTCAGTAGTTTCAAGCTATCACAATCATTTTGTCAAATCTCAGTGAAAATCACTGATTTATGGAAATTCCTCGATCGCCTGGACTCGGAGTCCGAGTGGACAGGCATGCTCGCCGTATGCTTTATGTACATACAAGCATTTGCTTATGGCTTTCGTGGCGTTGCAGGTTTACTGAGGAAGCCGAGCTCTTGGAAGCCAGTAATCGATTAGAAACTCGACCGCAAGATCAGCCAGCGGCTCACGTCACATTGGTTGTTAGTCCTGTCATTCCAGTAAAAGACGGCGACTGAACACACCAAACGCAGTGGTCGACGATGGCGAGCTCCTATTCCGTCAACGAGTGGCATCACACCGACACGTTTGCTGCGAACGACGCCACCGACTTGTTGCCTCTGCAGCGGACCTTTGAGGACATGAATGAACGTCGGAAGAAGCGACACCGCGTCTCCATGGTGGCCTTCCGTCGGAAGCAGAAGAACGAAAGCAACGCAATGGCGGCCGAGCATCGTCGACTGGTGCACGAGATGAAGACACTGGCGAAGAACGTGAGGGCTGCGGCAGCACGCAGCAGTCGCGACGGCGAGGAGACGGCAAGCGTCGATAGTGCAGCCACTGCAGTGCACGAGTTGGTCGTGAAACGAGACGCACTCTGGAACCAGAACTTGGCGCTTCGTGAGGCATTGAGCAACAACTGAAGTTCCAGAAGGTCGTGCTGAAAGAGGCTGATCTCGCCGCTGACAAGGGCGTGAATGACGTGCTGGTATACGACCTCAAGCCCGGCTGGCGTGTTCGTTTTGAGCGTGGGGAGCCGTCGTTCCACTTTCATCCGTTCACCAAGGACGAGTATGACGCTGCGCTGGAGGGTTTTGAGAAGAAACTTGCGAGTGGCATGTCCTCTGTCTCGATGGTCGGTACGTTTCTCGGCTGGAAGGTGTACCGCGCGCCGTTGACTACGTCAGTCGACAATTCCGTTGTGGCTCAAGTCCGCCTCGCCAAGCGCGTGCATTGCCCTCTGGACGTCTTTCTCACGATCTCCCACCGGAAGGATAAGGACTTGAGTCCCATTCTTCTCACGCCGGTCGGTTGGAGTATCCACCAACGCCACGAGGTCGGTACGCAAGTTCTACAAGAGTTTGGTGCCGAATCCTGCGTATTCGTGCACAACATTCCTGGACCAGACAAGCATCTCCGTTACTTGCTGGTCAGCCGGCGAGCTCAGTATTTGCTGCCTGATGGAAGACGCAGAATGACCGCGACGATGACGGTCATGGATTCGGAGGCCAACCGACTAAATTGAGAGGCTGATGCATCGCAAGACGACGTCGAATGGGTCACCGAGGGCGGCTTGCGCGTCTCGCTCACAGAAGTGGACGAAACCTCGATCGACGTCGTGTGCGACCGCTGGGCTGGCTGTCAAAACGCAATGCACGCCGACTATGAGATGATCCAGTGGGCCCAGTTTGCGAACTGGTGGGAGCAAACCGTTGCACCTGCGAGTCTTCTTCTGTAGGTAGAGGAATCTCTCAACTTTAATATTCATATCTGCTGGTTGTTATCGACCTGTAATATGATACGCGTACGTGGGCCCAGCAGAGTTGGTGGGAACAAACGATCGCTCCATCACGTCAGCTCTTCTAAAAAAGAGGAATTAAACTGGCTAAGCAAGGTAACCCCGATTTGAAACAATTGGCGGGAACCCGGGTACCCATCGGGACCCCGGTTCCCCCAAAACTACCGGTACACATGTATGAGCAAATGCATTGAAGTTTTGGTCTATGACCTACATAGAACGCAGCTAAAGCTCAGTAGGGAACGGAAGGTTAATTTACATTCGCCCTCGTCCTGTATCTCTCCACGAAAATCCAGTCGCTTGCCTGGTGCAGCGGTACAGTGCTTCCCGGTCTCATCGCTATCCTCCTGCTCATGAAAGATAAACTTGGACATGGTAAGGTATGTTATTTGGGTCTATTCAGTACCGGTTGCATATTTTGAGAGTAGTCCTTCATCGACAGCACTTAGATATGAGGGTTTAACTTGCCCCGAGGGTAGGCCAACAATTAAATAAATAATTCGCGATTTGGTCGGTATCATTTGCGGGAACCCGGGTTCCCGCCAATTGTTTCATTTGTCAAAACGTAAGTCGGTTCTTGCTTCTATCGAAGTAGGAACAAAAGTAAAAATTAGAGTACCAGATTTAGAAACTGCGACTGTTCTATTTTCATAGAATTTGCTAATGACGATGAATCATGGGAATTGAAACTTCTTATCGCGCGGCACCAATTGCTTCTATCCAATAATAACCCAGCTAGTATTCCCTTGCTCACCGACTCGCACCTAGCTGCAAATCACTATGTGCGGCCAGACCACCGCGAGGCTTGCCGACGCTCTTCGGCCACGTAAGCAAAGGATGCTGTGGGTGACGGCTCGTACATTTATCCGCGCTGCGATCTGAAGTGAAACCTAGTGCGAAGAAGCCGAACACCGAGTGACAACGGATGGACAATGTAAATTTTATTAATGGCTCAACGATTTGCAGGCAGTGCTAGTAGGTTTTTGTTCTTCTCCTATTTTCTGCTCTGATAAATGCACTTCGCCGATATATTACATCTATATATAATAGTTTCTTACGTGTAAAATGAAATCAAGAATATGGACCTTTATTTTTATCCTTAAAAAATCTTGTTGGGGATAGGGATTAATCCGAGGCTATGTGGCCCACAGAAAAAAGTATGTACTGAACCAATACAAATTTCAACGGTAAGGGTCTTATAAATCTAATATTTTGCATCGAACAATCAAATCTACTTATTTACACAAATTTACTACAGAGTACTTACTAGTACAGTCAAATCTGTTTATATGATCCTCTCCAGGCTTTGTCGCTACAAAATATTTTACTTAGTTGCTGTATGACCTCTGTTTATATGCATACAAAGTATATGAGTCACATTTTTTGGACCGAATTAGGTTTCACCTGTTTATTTGATTCATACTGCATGCGACCACACGCACTTCAAAGCACTAGTGCTCAACGCTCAACGCCTACCGCACGCCTCCTTCGCTCGCCATGTCTCCTCGCACCTGTCTGACGCTAGAACAAAAGATCCAAGTGCACCTAAAGCTCAAGCAGAATCCTGGTGTGAAGAACCCTATGCGGATCGTTCAAGGCCCGGGTCAGCCGTGCTACACTCGCCCGACTGCAAAACCTGCCTTCCTCCTACTTCCGCCACGTCGACTTGAGTGCAACCAAGCGGCGCCGAGTGAAATTCCCTCAGTTCGAGCGAGAACTGAGGGAACTTTTCTTCCAGAACGAAGCTAAAACGACAATGGCGGATGACGTGCCCCAGCTGAAGGCGCATGAGCTGGTGCAGCGCTTATGCATCGATGCCACGCAGCTCCGGCTTAGCAACGGCTGGCTTCGAAGCTTTAAGAAGCGCAATGGAATCCGCTCCCATACGCTACACGGTGAAGGTGGAGCTGTAGAAAGTGATGAAGTGCGAGATGCGAGGCTAAAGCTACAAGAGTTGGTGGCGGAGGTTACACCCGAGAATGTGTTCAACTTCGACAAGACGGCCCTTTTCTATCGCTTAGCGCCTAATCGATTGCTAGCTACGACTATTCGCAAGGGCAAGAAAAAGGAAAAACATCATTTGACTTTGGCCTTCTGCTGCAACACGAGTGGCTCCGACAAGCTCGACCCGATTGCCATCGGTACGGCCAACCCGAGGTGCTTTGAAAAGGGAGCGGCGATTAAGGGTAAACCGATATGGTACAAGGCCTCCAAGAACGCGTGGATGATATCTGTTATTTTTGTCGAATGGCTTCATCACTTCAACATGAGAATGACAACATCCTACTTCTAGCCAATAATACTTAGAAGCGACTCTGTTTTCGCGCGCAGTACTTGCTTCGGACCCCCTCCATGGTCGTATAGCAACAAGCGTCGTCCTCTATGCATACGCGCAAAGAAGTCAACCACCACTGGCAACAGGGACTTAACTGACGTCTCTGCGCCGGAGCTACTCGCGCAACCCCAACTTTTATTAGTGATTGCTTCTTCTTGGACACTGGCTGCTTCTGCAGCACCGTCACGGCGTCTTTGATCTGCTTCTGGCGGCCTTCCTGCGCCCGAGCGCGCAAATCGAAGACTGAGCAGTCGACTGGATCCAGATCTACCGGATCCACTTGTGTATAGTTGGCGTACGCGTAGTTGAAGTTGCCGTCCTCGTAGTCCGTCACCGTGTACTAGTACTAGTCCGCCGCCACCAAGTACTTGTTAACCCACCGGCGACCGCTCTTATCCCGATTTTGCAGGGATAAGATTAATATAGAAATTTGTATACTGGCGGGATAGGGTAAGCGAGGTCCGTAGCGGCCTGCCCCGACTCTTCGGGTTCCACCGACTGTCAATCTCATTGGTCAGAGTTATCCAATCAAAGCTTGGATACGGCCGTAATATTAAGCTCTGTCGAGATTTCAATCGAAAAAACCTTGGCGTAATTCGCAGGATAATGCGAACATTCGCTAAGTGAGTGAATTGTTCTGAGCTGAATATCGCGGTTGATGGACGTGCTCGGAAATCGCTGTGACACTATCCCAGGGCAAGCACGGCACGGCACATGAGGGACGCCTTCTACTGCAACGACGAGACGTACGAGGCACAACCGAACGCAGAACAACTCAATCTCGGTACGCTGCTCACTCTAGCCAGCCTGTTGCCCCGTTGCTGACGTGTTTCTCGACTGCAGGCGAGGCGACCCCTGGCGGCACAAGCCCCCCCCCCATTCCATCGGCAGTACACCCGCCTGACTTCCTCCTTCCTCTTCGCCATGCAGGGCTACGGCTACTGGCAGTACCAGGCGCACTCGCCACTCCACCAGCGCAGCGGCGAACTTCCCAAGCTCTACTACAAATCCCTGGACCACGGCACCGATAGCGGCGGCTTCAATGGCCCGGCGTGCATGAACTCCAGCAGCACGTGAACCCGAACAGCATGCAGGCCCAGCACCAGGCCCGACGCCGCAGCAGGGGGACTTCGACTACGAGCCCATCAGCACCCAGGCAAATACTACGCGCTGTCGCCCAAGGCCTATCGATACAACTGGGGCAGCTCTCAGAGCCGCTCTGTTGGGCTGCGGTCATACGTCAGCCCACACGGACAAACGTTCGCGTGAGGCGCCCTAAATGAAGGAGAAGAAGCGCGTGTTCAAGCTAAACGATGGCATCAACCATCACAAGACGCTGCAGGACGAGGCCGGACGATCAAGCAGTCCATCGTGTGATCTCGAATCAGAGTGCGGAGCGCGCCTAAAAGCAGGCGGATCGCCGAGGACCAAAATGGTGGTGGCTAAGGCGGTGGCGTCAGCGATGAGGGCTATAATACCCAATGGTGCTGCCAAAACAGGCTCTCACTGCAACAGCAGCCTTTGCAGGCGGATGCAGTGAGTATGTGTTTTAGTGTAAGGGTCTAGTATAAAATAAAATAAAGGCATTCCATAGAATTGAGCGACAGTTAAAATCAACCTGTCAAAAGTCGCGGTCGCTCCTCAGTGGTACAGTACACATCGTGTGGGGGGAGATCTTCTCCGAGAAGATCATGGCCGACGCAAGTATGTACACCGACGACACGGCGGCCGACAGCAGCAGCACTGTGGGCGGCAGCAGCAGCGATGACGACGAACGCTCGAACCAACAGGAGCTCACAGTGCGAGGGCGCTCCGAGAGCCAAGGGCAGCTCAGCGATCAAGATACCGACTTTGACCGCTCCTTCTACTTTGTTCTCTCGGGCCCTAACTACACCTACGAGGCTGTCCCGGTGCGCATGTATGTCCTACTTGTGGTGGCTATTTGATATCTAACCGTCCTGCTTGCACACAACAGGCTTTCACGCCGGATGTCAACCGAGCAGCGTCAAACAACAAGAAAATTTATGGCAAGCCGATGTCTGTAGGGGAGGTACGTGCACGTATCTTTGGTGTTTCAGTGGGCGTCACGATGGATCAATTCCGATGTATGCCTAGACGTTGGAGAGATTTCAATGGCACCAGGGGTTCCTTGACTTTCACACCCTCCAGCCAGTACGCAAACCTTCACGCGACCGGGTGGGTATGCGAATTACTTGAGTTCTGTGGCGTAGTCTAACAAATGTTATTATGCAACAGGTTTACGAGCCTAGATTCAGGTCTACCAACCATGTAGACGCATTTCTAGCCACCCTTCCGCTCTACGAGATGTATGCGCAGTTTCAGAATGACGAAGACTGGAGTCACATCTACGCGTGGTTGCAAGCGTCCCTAAAAGCCTCGAAGGTATTTCACGCGTTCTGTGGTGCTAGGTGTACTCCCAACGCTAACGTGCCATTGACCTATGTGTAGATAACGCTGACTATGATAAGCGTCGACAGCGCCTGTGCGAGTGGGATATTGAACGCTTAGACGCTTTTCTCGATTCCCATGTTGAGCACCATATCGCCATGGAGGCAGATGAATCGTACGACGAGAATGCTATCCGGGAGCATACCAAGGAGGGGTTTTTCAAAGAGCTCGAGTATAAAGCTCGAGTCCGAGAAGCCGCTGCGCTCGAGTGGCTTGCTGTCTGGATGTATCAAACCGAGGTGGTGTTTCCTCGTCTTGGGGTATCGTTGAGACGCTAGTACGTCGGAAAGTGCTTAGCCCAGCTTCACAGAAGCATACATATTTTGTTAGCGATGCTGAGATGTAATGAAGAAGCCCATGCCTACATATATCCGTCATCGCTTTCTTATTGTAGCATAGATCTCAACGTTGACAACCAGCTTGACCGCCGTCGAGTCAAAGCTGGCTTCGCTCTCTCTTACAGGCGTATTTTGTCAAGATCGACTTCGCAGTGAAATATTGACTCCCACCTAATTATCCGACTCATTCTGCTGCTCGGCCCCGCTGAGCGTACATTCCACCGCGCCGAGCAGCTCCGCCAGCACTTCCGCCACGGCCTCCCTCTCGCTCTCATCCGGGGGCCTCTCAGTCGCAGTTACTCCTTCTTCATCCTGTCCTGCTGCATCTGCGCCTGGCCGCTCTGGCTGATGCACTTGTACCTCTACGTTTCGCGTGACACTTGGAACCGGTAACTGCGAAGATGACACCGAAGCAGCCCCATCGGCATTCTGAACATCGGTCTCGTATTGCCTTGGCGGTACTGCATCCGAGGAAGCTGTGTCCATCGTTTCCGCGCGTAACTCCTCCTTCGACCGACGCATTCGGATCCGTCCGACCTTTTCAGAGTGCGGAAGTTGATCTCTGTTCTTCCATTTCGAGTGCCAAATGTTAAAGCACGATACAAAATTACCATCGGATACGTGTCGCGCCGTGGAACACAAAAACAGTCTTCCTCGATCAGTGGAGCACTGCTTGCAGTAATGACGCGTTGTGCCGGGAGGTCGATTCGATCCAGGACTGCCAGCACCACGCAGTACCGAACAAACTTTGCACACGCGAAACTTGAACTTGCCCTTCGCTGTCTTGTCCGTCGACACCATCAATTGATGCTTCGAGCTTGCTAGCGAGTACGCCGTCGAAACTGGTGTCTGGTTAGTTCATGGCTCCACCTCGGTAACAGCGGCTTCGGCGACTGGCACCGTTTCCAGGAAGTCATCATCTCCGAGAGCGAGTAGCTCCTCGTGTAGCTGAATGAGAAAATCCGCGTGTGAAAGAGGTTTTTCCCTCACCGACTTCGCGTACTCACGGTGGGTGATAAAAGCGTTAACCCACCGGCGACCGCTATCCCGATTTTGCTGGGATAAGAAAAACCTCGGTGGAAAGTGCCGGTTCAAACCATACAGGTGGTTAGGGTAACTGCGACTCTTCAAGGTCCCGCCGAGAGCGTTTTGGCCAATGCGATCTGTTTGCGGATTTCTCACCTTGAAAGGTAGATGGGCGTGGGTGCCGGGCTTCCGCGCCACCATTGGCCACCGCACAAGCATTTACACCCGCAGATTGCCAGGTGCCCGCGAAGGATTAGCGCTTCTCCGCTATGGTAAAATTCTGAGTTGATAGGATGCACCGCTCACTAATGTTAACTTTCTTTTCCCTTGTATCATTGCCTTCTATAGATGCCTTCACACGCGCGAGGTACGCTGGTCGAGGAGCTACGAGTACGGCTCTGCCGGTGCCACTGCGAAGACCGAGTTGTTTCGATCGAGACCTGGACGCTCCTATTCGTGGAGGAGCCCGACCGCTACTTCGGCAATGTACGTGAGGCGTCAGGGATACTGGAGCTTTAGCAGAATGGAAGCTGATGCTGAGAGATGTTGTGGACTCGGTAGGTGTGCGAGCTACACACCATCTTCAACCCCCACAAGGTATGGCGGCGTCTTGGCTGCTTTGGCGCTCATATCTAGGAGCCCATGCTGGTGGTGTTGTTGTCGACAGGCGTATTACATTCAGAACGAGCTGTTCACCGGCTACTCCCGGCAGGAGTTGAGCAAGGAGGCGATCTTGCGCATCTGCGCCCACCTAAGCTACGTGCCCCCACCGCTGAAACCATGCGGGTGCCGACACTTCACCCTAATGCGAGTCGACTCCACAGCGAATGTCCAAGCGCGATGCCGAAGGCACGACGGTGGAAACAAGCGGCAGGGAGGACGCCGAGAGCACGACAGGGACAGCGGGGTGTGGCAAGACTCCAAGAACGACAGATACAACGGCGGCTTGAAGCATGGAGTCTTCATGGTCAGCTGGGGTCTGGTTACGGAGCCCACGATGCCGTACGTCGACTCGAGTAAGCTCGTCCGCTACGAACGCTTCATCTTGCATTGGGTTCTCTAGACCTCGTATGACAGCTCATGGGGCGACAGCGGCTTCATTACGCTGTCAAACTCAACTGCAGGTCGAAGTTGATTAGAGTTGTGATTGATTTTCATGCAATTAATACATAGTCGTTCGTTTGACCCTCGGCGGCAATGTTAGAGTACTGATCGTAGTTACTGCATCGACCATCTTGGTTCAGCTGCGTACAGGTGTAAATCCCGAAGGGAGCTGCTGTAAGTCATCGGAACCTGAATTGTTTTCAGTAACTTCCACCGCTTGCAAAACGAATTTCGGCACGTATTACGATGCCGCGGACACACTCGTGTTGTCAGTGCCACCAGACGTAGATGAGGTAGCTTCATGCACAAAGCACGCATTGCTAAAACCACATCTTCTTCGAACACAGTGTCGTGGCAAAATAAAAGGGTGGCGGAGCTGATAAGGGAGCTGGGTTGAGCCAACTTCGAGTCTGGATCAGCATTGATAACAGTATCGCTGCCTTCAGCAATATTGCGGATGTCTGCGGTGACGACGCTGATCTTGAGCAAGTGTGGAAAGCGCGATGCCCTAGACGCAATCAGCTCCATACCTCTAGCGGCCAGGTCACGTTGGATCTCAATACCAACCACACGAAACGCTTGCGTTTGCAGAGCGATTTGAGCGAGAACATTTCCCACGCCGGATCCAGCATCCAGAAACACGCCATTCACTTGAATATTCGCTTCTTCGATCAGCATGGACACCCCAGCCATTGTAATCTCCCCGGTATTTAGCTGACGTTCACTCGCGCGCACATCACGCCTGGTGAGTAGGCAGAATAGTCCTTCAGTGGCGTTGTAGGTTTCTTGCGGTGATAGGATCGAAATGGTATGTGGTGAAGGCGAAAACCGTAGAGGAGACGCGGCTTTGGCTTCCAAATGCAGTCCTGCTCGGTCTGGTGGCGGGCGGAAATAGCGTGGGGGAAACTCAGCACGTTATTGCCATATCGTCTCTTGAGCGTCTTGATTCGCTGTTGCAGTTTGGTTGCGCTCCATGTTGTCGGCCTCATGTCTTTCTCCACTGACACTCAGTCGATTCGGCTTCCCGCTTGCTCGTACACCGCCGCGAGCTGAACGAGTTGGCGATCCTCTTCATCTGAAAAGTCAGCATTTTTCGCTTCGGATACTGTCTATACAAACTCAAGTAAAACGACCCTTTGGGGGTTCATACTGAAACCGAGTTTATTTTTTTTTGGATTTGTAAGTCAACGTTGGGTCGCTGTCGACCGAGTCAATGTAGACTCGTTCAGAGTCGACGTTGACTTCGCTATTACTGAAACTAGTACGTTTGAGTCAATGTCGACTTGGTTTAAGTCCATGTTGACTTCGCGATCAATACAACAAGCGTGTTCGAGTCACAGTTGACTCGCTCTAAGTCATCGGTGACTTGGAAATGTGTATTCATTCATCGTTACGCAGCAGCACACACAACTACAGCAGGATGGCACTCTCAAACGCAGCCAATGCTTCCATTATCTTCGCGCATACACACGCGTATCTGCCGTGGTCCATCGAGTGAATGACGGTACCTGTCTTGTCGTGGACCAACTCATTTCTTTTCACCCAGAACTCGACCGCAAGCGCCTTGAACTCTTCAGCGTCCGCCGTCTTCGATCCAAACGCCTCCTTCATTTTGCCCAGAATGAGTCGCGCTTCTTCTGCATTGTGCTCGTGTTACCTACATTTTTTTCAATCCAGAGACAATGGAAGTCAAACAATGTCAAACCACACTGAAGCAGAAACTCAAGCGGCATACCATTTCGGATCTCGGCGTTCCATTCTGTGAACTCTTCGATAGCTCCCTTGGTCACCGCGCTATACTTGTACGTATGCAGCTGCAGCTCTCGTCTCGCGATGGTGTCTTGCAATCCGCTGTTCTCCGTTTTCACCGCCTCTAGCGCAGCCTTCATCGATTCCAACTGCGTTCTCACTCCATCCCGTTCTGCTTGCATCGCCGCCCTCTCTTCCTCGATCCGGTTGCGGTTGGCTTCGAGCTCTTTAAACGCAGCTGGGCACCCGTTGTTCTTGAACTGCTCTTCCAGGAGCCGGGTCTGGCGCTTCATTTCATTCAAAATCTTCGCCTGCTTCAGCGATATTCGGCCTCCTTGTTGCTTCGCTCGACTCGGCTTCTCTCGTTTCTTTTTATCCGCGTCCAACTGCTCCCGCTCCCGTTGCAGGCGATGCGTTACGTTCCAGAGACGCCAGTCCTCCTCTTTGAGCTTGGCGTCATGAGATTGCAGCTCCTCGGCTTTGACTTGTAGTTCTTCCTCCTTGTTCTCCATATTCTTATCTCTCGTAGCCTCCTCGTTCTCCCGGCCCTCCAGTTTTTTCTTGCGCTCGTCCACCTCTCTCGTGAGGTTGTTCATGTCTTCGTGCACATCCTGGAGTTTCTTAGCATGACTAGCCTGCGCCTTAAGTAGATTGTCTGCGTGCGTGGTGACGGATTGCTTCGACAAATTCAACTCAGTTTCCACATGGGCAAGTTTGTTGCACCACTTGAAATCGCCTTCTCCTCGGCTAGTTTTGCAGCCGTCTTCTTCCACTCATGCGCTATCACGGTACATCTGTCGTCACCACTGCCATCACCACTGCCATCATTCCTAAGTTCGGCCAGCTCCTTCGCAGCGGCTGCTAACTGCTCCTCTAATTTCCTTGAGCGTGCTTGTACCTCCTCCAGCTGTCGAGCCCCTTGCTGCTTCTCTTCATCCAGCTTCTCTCGGAACTGCTGCAGTGCTTGCGAAATGGTATTTTCAAGATGCGCATACCCCCTTCGCAAAGGGTGGGTTTGCAGGCTCCGAGCTGGGGCACCTTCCTCCTGCACGGCCACGGGTGTCTGCGAGATTGGAGGCCCTGGAGCTTGGTCTGACGCTAGCGATGCTTGGTTTCTGGCTGCGGTAAGCTGCTGAGCCGCCTGGATGTCGCATTGCTCGATCGCCAGGTGCTCGGCTCCGCCACGTTGCGATAGCTTCGACGAACCCGATCCAGCGGTCTGCGCGTGTGCGTCTGCTTTCAGGGCTTGGTCCGCTAAGTAAAACTCGTAGAACTCTTTCAGCAGCGCAGGCTCGTGACGCTGGAGCTCTTCTGGGTTGTTTTTGAACGCCTTGAATTGAGTCAACTTGCTCAAAGCCTCGTAGTCCAAGTCGTTGCTGCTGTTCCTAGCAGCTGTGTATTTCTCCGCCCACACACGCTTCTGGTAGTCTGCCATCTTGTAGTAATCACCTGCCTTGCGCCGTGGGCCTTGCCGGTGCTCGCCCTTTTCGTCTGCGATCTTCTTTTGTAGAGCCAAGCACGTGGACCGGAGCGCGTGCTTGGGTACCAGGGGAGTCGTCTCTTCATCGCGAGTCGTCGCCTCGTCCTCCGATGCACTCGCGGCGCCCAACTCGCGCGTCGTCACGTTGGATCCTTCGCCAGTCTTCTTGGCAGTCTTCCTCTGCTTACGGGGGCTTGGCGAAGTGTCTGGCGAAGTGTCTGGCCCCTCCCCCTTCTTCCGCTTCTGCTTGGGGCATTGCCGGTGGCAGGCGTGGTCTTGGCAGCGTTTGCTGACTTGCCAGTGGGCGCGCTCGTCCGCTTTGTCGCTGGCTTGTCCATCGCCTTTGCAGCTTTCTTGATCCTCGTCATGGGCGCCTGGCGAGCAGCACCGCCAGCAGTTCCCTCGCTCTCTGCAGCCTGAGATCGCTTCGCCATCAGCATCGCCATCAGCACTTTGCTGCAGTCAAGGTTCTTTGAGAAAGTGAAACCGCAAATCCTACAGTTGAAATAAATTGATGTGGACCAATTCGATTTAGAATCAAGAGGACTGATAGTCAACGTTTACTTGGTATAAGTCGTTGTTGAGCTGGCTTCAGTAACAAGTGTCTAAGCCAGCGTAGACACGTTCCAAGTCGTAGTCGACTTGGTGACTCAATGAGAGATGTACGAGTAGATGCACATGGTTGTCTTTACAAAAAGAAGCAGAAGTGGTGAGATAAGCGCCAACACAAGAGTGGATACGTCAAATTAGAGATTTACTGAAGCTACCAGTCACCTCTTCGGCATTGCCGGAGCACGTTAGCGATCACGCATAAACTCTTCCAGCGTGATGATGTAGGCGCGCGGCATATTGACGGTGGTCAGCTCGTTATCGATGTGCAGCTCATCGACGGTGTCCACCTCGTTGTCTAGGCGCGGTTCCTCCGGTGCGTTGTGTCTCCAGATGTTGAAGTACTCCACGAAAGTGCGACCAGGGATAGCGTGACCAACACGATTAGCTCGTTCCAAGAGCTATGTTGCTTCCGCTATGCCAGGGGGGCATTCGAACGCAGCAACCGCAAGCTTGTCCGAGGGAATGTGCAGATCCTGATAGCGCTCAAAATCATCCATCCGAAGGTTGCAGTTGTCGACGATAACGATATCCACGCCACGGTCGGGGCTGCGCCACAGGAGTTCTCTGCATTGTTCGTTGCAGCTTCGATGCACCTCCCAAAGCCGACTCGCGTCGAACACATAGGATCCTTCGCGCTGAAAGAAGAGGTCAGCTGAGCAAATCGATGCGCGGAAATCAACCGTTGCTGCATAACGAGCGACCTCTTGAGCAAACGTTGTCTTCCCACTGCCCGGGAGGCCTCTCATGATCACGAAGAGCCGAGGCGGGTACTGCATATACGCGCGGCAGTCCTCCCAATACACCCGGTAGTCGTCAACGATTTGTCGGGCTTTGAACTCCATTTCTCACACGTCGGATGTCGTCGAACCTCCAAGATTCCGCTGCTTCTGATGTTGACCACACCATATCACCGACCATGTGTGAACACACATAACATAAGTCAACATTGACCTGGGATAGTCAACATCGACATCTTGGCCGGACAGTTGCGCTCCTGGACGGTCTCAGCGGCGTGGGCGACCGTCGGCCAGCATTTCGGCGAGCCCGGCTACAGCGTCACGGCGAGCGTAGCGGTAGCGGGGACAGCGAGAGCAGCATGACGAGCATGGCGGCGGCCGGCACAGCGACAGCAGCATGGCGAGATGGTGAGCATGGCGGCGGCACGGGCGACCGTCGGGCAGTATTCTGGTGAGCCCGGTCACAGCGTCACGGCGAGCGTAGCGGTAGCGGGGACAGCGAAAGCAGCACGACGACCATGGCGGCGGCCGGCACAGCGAGAGCAGCACGACGACCATGGCGGCGGCCTTGGCGGCGACGGCATAGGTGGGGAAGCGCGCTGGAGCAGTAGCTGCCGATTTCGGAAATGAGGTTTGGGATTGAGCGCGCGGAAACGATCTTCTGGCACGGATCGCAGCGCGAGCGTGATTGGCCGCGAATTGGCTGGCCAATTACACGCCGCAAATTCAAACGATGGGGGCGTGATTGGCGTAGATACCGGAGCGAACCCACGGGCGAG